ACTTTCGAATGTTTAAAGAGATTTAGAAATAATTTAAGTATGCAAGTGGACTCATCCGGTTCGCCGATGAGGTATAAGTGGACTTATCTGCGACGCCGGTAGGGATTAAGTGGACTCATCCGGTACGCCGGTGAGGTATAAGTGGACCTGCAGGGATTAAGTGGACCTATCTGGGACGCCGATAGGGATTAAGTGGACCCATCAGGACGCTGATGGGGTATATAGGTGACCTACTTGGGACGCCAGTAGGGTATTTTGTGAAATCATTTGAATTATGTACTGCCGTTAAAAGTGTTATAAGCATTTCAATTACTCGGATTAGACTTAATTATGCATTTATTGAAAGTGAAACTGTTGATGCATTTCGGTTAATAGATCTCATTTTGGAAAATATTGATATCTTTCAATCATGATTATTTTTAGGATTCTGATGATCACTTACTGAGTAGCCAAACTCATCAAACTATGGTAAACATTTTTTCAGGATAGCTGCGGATTCATTTTGAGTGATAGTCAAGATCAACCTTGGAAGATACTGTTATTGTACTAGCTTTCTTTATTTACTTTGTAAGACCTTGCCACTGTAAATTTGTCCTATCAATAGATGTATATATGTTTTGTCTGTCACATCTCAGGAATAACAGTATTGTAAATTCTTGGGGTTTGACATTCTCTCTCTGCCCCCAGCCCAATTCCTCAACCCCAAGAGCCAAAACCCAAGACCAAACCCCCCACGCTGAGGTCTCACCAGACGAGGGCATTCTTGCGAACTTTGTCAAAACCCTAGCCAGGTTCAAGTCTAGATACAACTTCATCAGGGTTCTTGAAGTTTCTAGAAGTGCCGACCACCCCTTCGCCGGCTCCCGCCTTCTCCTCCTCGACAACCCAGATATCCATAGCGTAGCTTTCCTCTTCAAACTTTTAACGGCTACTTATTTTGATGTTTTTGCCACCTTTCCTCCAATTTTGAACTCTGGACCCATAGGAATTCTAGGGTTTGGAGCTGGTTCAGCTGCTCGACTTTTGCTGGAGCTGTGGTCTGAAGTGAAAATCATAGGTTGGGAGATTGACCCATCTGTTATTGCAATGGCCAGAGAGTTTTTCAGTCTTTACAAGCTAGAGAAACAACACAAACATAGGCTTTATATTAATGTGGGGGATGCATTGAAAGCTGATGTTAAGGGAGGATTCACAGGTCTTTTAATTGATTTGTTCTCGGAGGGTAGGGTCATACCAGAATTACAGGAACGAGAAACTTGGGAGAATTTGAAGTTGGTTTTGAGAAATAGGGGAAGAATAATGATCAATTATGGGGGAAAGTTTGTGGAGCCTGAGGATTCTTCGAGAGATGGGCATTCGATTATGATGGAGACATTGAAGGTAATGGAGAGTGTTTTTCTGGGACAAGTGCATATCTTGCAACTGGGTTATGCTAAGGAAGAGAGTTGCATTGCTTTGACGGGCCCTTTACCTGATAGAGAGGCTTAGAGGAAGGCATTGCCATCTTCTTTAAGAGGTTATGTGGATCAGTGGGTTCCTTTTTGTGGAAGAGTTATGTAGATAGATAAAGGAAGAGATGCTTCATCATTCTGCTAGACTCATTTATTACTTTGTATTGATATTAGATTTCCCATATGGGTTTAGAACAATGTTCGCAAAATTGAACCGGAACGGTTAACCGATTTTGGGGCTGGGAGCTGTTTGAACCGGAACCGGACTAATCGTGGCAGTTAACCGTTTTAACCGGTCAAGTAGTTCTTTTTTAAAAAAAAAATGGTCCAAAACAATTAAAAAAAAATTGAAAAAAAATAGAAAAACTTAGATTAAGTGTATACTATTATATTACATACATTTATCTTACAAAAAAAATTGAAACAACTTTTTATATAAATTAATATTTGAATACTATGAAGATATGCAAGACAATTTAGAATTTGACATTAATTCAATTAATGTAGTTACAATGTCCAACTAACAATACTAGTAGTAATGAGAGTGGCGAGGGGGATCATGATATTGTTGTGTTTCACTATCAGGATTTACGGGGCGAAAAATCTGAGTAAGGCCTGGTGGAGTCTGTAATGCCGCAGTTGTGCCCCCTTGCCAGTCAGGAATATTTCTTGTGGTACCGCCTTGGCCAAAGTCTCCTAGACTCGTCTAGCCTTCATACTCTCCCCCACCCTGTTCTGTTCTGTGTTACCCGCACCTTCTCCTGTGTTACCCCAACCCTGTTCTGTGTTATGACCCTCAACATCTTCAATATTGTCATCATCATGAATAACCAGGTTACGGTGACGACTACGACTTCGTCTCTCCCTTGTTGAGTAACTCCTTTGCCTCAATGCCTGGACTTCCTCCCAAGCCAATCTCATTAAATCTTCTTGTTCGTCAGGCACCGCATCCTGTTGCACCCCTTCACATTCCTGTATGATTGGTTCTTGTCAATTATTTTCCATTATCCCATCTGTTTCATCATCCTGTGGCTCATCTTCATCCTGTGTATAATTGTCATCCATGTCCATTGTCATGTCCTTCATTGGATGCTGCAACATTCACATTATCATCCATATCGGCAACTGCCTCACTAAGAAAATCTTGGTCTAGTAGTGGGGTGTGAATTCTAGACCGTCCATCTCAAATCTCTAATAAATGTCAAAACATGATAACTTTTAGGTGGCGTTTGATAACGCGTAAACAGTGGAAAGTACCCTACTTTCCTTTTTACTGTGGTTTTCACTTGTTTGAAAACAATAAAAGTAGTGAAATTCGGACATGATACAGATCGCTTCTCAATTTTTTGGACAATTTAAGCCTTTGAGAGCTTCTCTTTTCATGGATCCCGCAACATCTGATACCAATCCCATAGAAATCAACTGGTAAGATTAAGAAAACGAAATTCTTTATGATGATCAAGGTTTTTGGGTTTTTTTTGTTTTAGGGAATATTTGTTGTGGAATTGAGCTTTATGATATTTTGTTTTTTTTTTTTTCTCTTTGTTTTCCATTTTTTTCCTTTTTGTTTCCCATCTCCTTTTGTTTGCAGGATGGTGGACTTTTTTGACCTAAGATGCTGGTAAGTGTAGTCTTTGAACATGGTTTCAATAAGTTTGGGTAGATAATTTGTTACACTTTGGCGGGAATTACTGAAAATTTGGGTTGAAATCCAAGAAAAATGTATTTAAACTTCATAGTGAACTCCAGGAAAAATGAATACTTAAATTTGCTGAAATATTCTTGAAGTGTGAATCATAGTTCATTATGTGAATATGTTGTTCTTATGGGAGCTTAATCCAATTACTTTAGGCCATTCAGTGAAAGGTAAACTAGTATTTCATAATTCAGGAATTTTGAAATTTACAAGAAAGTTGGAAGCACTTCACAAAATCTTGGAGAAAAAAAGTTGGGGAAAATTTTGACAAAGTTCTAACAAAATTATGGCTAAGAGTAAAAGAAATCAGGTGAAATTTGGACTAACTTTTCCTACGCAAAATTTTGAATCCATTGACTTTTTTGCGGATAGATTTCATAGTTGATATGAAGTGTGATGGTTGCATATCAGCTGTTCAGAATAAGTTTCGTTACCCAATATTAACTTGAAAGGATAAGGCCAACTATTGACTTATCCAAGTCTGTGTCAAAACCTTGCATCCTTTATCTCCATTTCATTGATGCTTTTTTGTGGACAGATTTCATAGTTGATATGAAGTGTGACGGTTGTGTATCAGCTGTTCAGAATAAGTTGCAGGCACTTGATGGTATGCCCGTTACCCAATATTGCCTTGAAAGGATGAGACCAACTATTGAATTATCCAAAGTCTGTGTCAAAACCTTGCATCCGTTATCTCCATTTCATTGATACAAGATTTGTATTCCAATATTAATCTAAATCGCAAGATATGTATCCTTTTTCTGCATTTTAGTGCATTTATCAATACTTGTTAGATTGTTGCATTCTCTTGGTTTACTATTACATAGCTAGATAATTTGAGGATTTGTGTTGCTCCCCTTTCATATTAGTTGTACCAGTTTCTATAAAGACTTGCTTGTTTAATTTCCTGATTATATACTGCCATTTTCTCCGGAAAATGTTAGCTTTATGTATGTACGTGTTACAGGCATTACCATAGTGTCATACGCTAGCATCAATAAACTGCTTTGTACAAAATTGGTGGGGTAAAGATGAACAAAAAGACCAAAAAGAAAAAAAAACTCACTCGAGATCACATAAATCAAGAGCTTTACTTATTATTTTGTTTAAATGGATTAGGAAGAGTTCCAAGCACCCGAATGTAGGAATGAAACTTACAAAGTCGTGTTGTGGTGCCTTGCAACACTGACCTTCCCCCTTGAGCTCATTCCTATCTCTCTCTAGTACTTTTCTTTTTATTGTTTTGTGATTTCTTTCTCAAAGACAGAATTGTAGCAATGAGAAGTATATTGGAAGGTTATACTTTATGTTCAGATGTTATGTTTCAATCTCCTTCATAAATTTTATAAGAAATGCATTAGCTGGGTTGCAACAAGGAAATATTATTCACAATGCATTTTGCACATCAAATCAATGAAATACATAATTGATGGTTAAGACAGGCAGTTTCTAGCTTTTCCTCTACCAAACAATGAGAAGTATATTGGTAGGTTATACTTTATGTTCAGCTATTATGTTTCAATCTCCTTCATAAATTTTATAAGAAATGCATTAGTTGGGTTGCAACAAGGAAATATTATTCACAATATGCATTTTGCTCATCAAATCAATGAAATACATAATGAATGGTTAAGACAGGCAGTTTCTAGTTTTTCCTCTACCAAATAAGTGAAAATACCAGTACCACAGTTTATCAAACATTGTTCCCAGCTTTCAGGCTACCAAATTTTCACCTACTTCCCAGAATCCAAGAAAATCAGCAGGGAGTCTCCCAGGAAAACTATAAAGAGAGTTCTCAAATGCCACCTTAAGGTGTTTTTAAGTCAAATTGTACTTTTACCTTTTTGCCTTTCTCTCTTCTCTTTCAAACTGCCGGTCTCTTCCCTGTTTCTCTCCCCCTTTATCTCTCTTCCCTACTGTCATCCCATTTCTCTCTCCCCTTTTTTATCTCCCCCAAATAACCACTCTCTCTCTTCCCCAAATGTCATCCCATCTCTCTCTCTCCCCCACTGACCTCTCTCTCTCTCTCTCCTATGGGTGCCAAAGATCCATCCATGGAGGGTCTTTATCTCTCTCCCCCCTCCCCTTCCCCCTCGGGTGCCAAAGATGCAAGTATGGGGTCTCTCTCTCTCTTAAGTAGAGGAATCAAAAGAAATGAATGCCTTTTATCTCTCTTCCTGTTAAAACCCTCATCTTTCCCTCTCCTCCCTTTACCTTTCTAGCACTTTCATCCCTTGCGACGGTTTTTGTTGCCGTCTTGAAACTAGTGATGAAATTTTGGGAGAAATATTTGTGTTAGGCTACATTAGGTAGAAGAGTGATCGAGATGCTCAGTCAAGAAAGAGGAATCCATTGAGATCTAGTAGAGGCTTGGTTTTTTCTATTTTCGTCTTGTTAATGGAGAAGAAAAGGAAATGCAAACACAAAATTACAAGGACTTTGAGTTTTCACCTTCATTGATGGTGCAGACTGCAGAGCAAGGGAGAGAAAACACGAGGTTGACTGGGTGGTCTCCCAACTTGCAAATACTTTAAAAGTAAAAAAAAAGGGCAAAATGATGCTAAGAAAAAGCTAGCATGTGTGAAAAGAGGGTGCAGCACCTAAGCTCTTTTAGTGGTTGAAGTTGGTGAGGAAGAGGGGTAAAGGCTGAGCTTCAAGAAGGCGGTAGCTCCTCTCTTTAGCGGATGTATGTGTGGTTTTTGAAAAGAGATATATAGGTCTTTCAACATAGCTTTAGGGAGCAATACATGGTTTTTAATCTTGCTTTGTAGAGATATTGCAAGTGGGGGAATATGTCTAGTTTTGAAGAGCGAGAGCAAGCAGAAGAGAGAGCACTGAGTTTGAGAGAGAAGGAGAAAAAAGAGGTGCTGATGGTTCTTTTTGTTACGGTTAAGAGCAGGAAAGTAAGAAAAGAGCAAAGGCCTAAGGAATTTATCAAAAGAAAAGGTATGAAATGTTTTTTACACCATACCACTCTATTGAAAATTCATAAGATCATTCCCCCAAAAACATATATTGGCTTGCCATATTGTAGAGCTTTGGCCTTGTTGTAGGGGTTTGATGGGTAGTTTGCGATTGGTGTTGATGGCATAATCACCCTATCCTATTATAGTCCTCTTTTCACCAAAAATAACTTTTATGCATTTAACTTTGTGGAGTTGCTTCAATTTTTCCTCTCTCTCTCTCTCTTTCTTTCTTATTTTTTTGGTTTTTTTTGTTTTTGATGATTTCAATTTTCCTTCTCTTATCCTTTCCTTTTTGTGGAACATGTTGGGTTGTTATACTTGGTTAATTGAGCTATGAGTGAAGCAACGGTTTCATGGTATCAGAGATGGAGTAAATAAAGTGGTTATTGAGACCTTCTACAGTGGCGTATGTGTCAATTGATGATACGACTCTGGTTCTTTATTAGTCGGACTGCAGCTTTGAATTGCACTTCCTGGTTTTGCAATGCCATTTCCATTTTCCAGATTAATTTGATCGGGGTTTGTTGGGTTGGTTTTATGTGCCTCTCATGAGCTCTTTTTTGTTTTATTATGTTTTGTTTCTTTTTTTTGAAGAATGTTATCTACTTTTATTCATAAACTACTCAAAAGAAATTACATCATCACAAACAGTAAATGAGGGTAAAGACGCTCTACCCCCAGAAGGGAGTCCTCTCTCATAGGCCCCTTTCGTTGTCATCTGCTCGAAAATCTTCATAGCCCATACATTTCTCTCTCATATACTCAAACTTCATGGCCTACCAGATCGTACAACCCACATCCATTACACCCACACTTAGGGCGTGTTTGATAATAGGAAGACACTTCTTGGAAGTTGAGAAGTTCTCAGTACTGTTCAAGTTCTGTGTTTGATAAAAAAAAGGAACTTCGTATCAAAACTTTCCATCTTCCTGTCTCGCGTTAAAAAAAATTTCCGAACCAAAGGTCAGAACTCAAAATAGGAAGTTCGTTACTTCCTACCTTTCGATAACCCTAGGCTCTTTGCACGCCTTCACCACTGAGCACGCATTCTCCGCTGAGCACCCCTTCACCGCTAAGCACCCCTCTCTTCGCAGCGCGACCCCTCTGTTCTTCGAGTTTACCCGCTGATCTTGAGGTATGTTATTGACTTTGACTTTCATAATAATCTTTCTTTGTAATCTTTCTCTCTATCTCTTCTTCGAGTTTAGGGTTGCTTGATCTTTGAGCTCTGATCAGAGTACGAATACATTAAAAACTTCACTGAGCTCTGATCTTTGAACTTTTATCAGAGTACGAATACATTAAAAACTTTATTGAGCTCTGATCCAAGTTTTCAAGAGCTCGGATCTCCTAGATTTGAACATAAAAACAAAAACTATTTCTAGGGCTTCTCCTTAACCATTTCTAGGGCTTTCTGATATTCTCTCTGATCAATTAATTGATTTTTAAGCTTTTATCTGAGCTTAAACATTAGAAATCTCTAGGGTTTTATGGGTTTGTTCGAGTCATTACACGATTTAAGCTTGTTTCTCAGCTTATGCTATATTTCTGCTTTTTTTTTTTTCCCCCTATTTTTATGGTGGAATGGCTCTCCTTTTTGTGATATTAGTTCTTAGTTTCTTGTACTCATGTTTAATCCATGAATCTAGTGGTTTTACACTAACTCTTCATTATTGCATTATAATTTTTCATTTAATTTATGTCTCATATCATGATAATTGCTCTATCTTATGTAACTGCAGATGATTTGTGTTACTGTTTGGATTATGGCAAAATTAGCTAGTGGAATATACTTCACAATTCCATGGATTAATTTATCTTTTTCTTCTGTTTTATAATGTGTTAAAATGAGTTTTAGATTGAACTCAAACTAAATAGGGAAAAAACAAAGTTGCGAAACAAAAAAGAAAAAAGAGAAGAAGAAGAAGAATAATGAGATGGAGCAAGCTAATTTGCGACTACATAATCCTTGTTGAATTGATTCATTTCATTACCTTTTTTGGAGTTCAATCAGCTTGGCTCTTTAATAAAATAAGGCCCCATTCGGATGGCCAAACAACTCTAGTAAGAAAAGTAGTTTAAACGAGATCTGAAAAGAAGTCTTTTTTCCCACTGTTTGGGCCATTTAAAGGTAGTTTAAAAGAAATTTGGAAAGAAGTCTTTTTTCCCACTGTTGGGGCCATTTTGGAAAAAGTGGTGCTGCATAATGGGCTTGCTATGAATAGTAGTGGGCAATGCTCTGCTAATTTTTTTCTCCTAAATGAGAAGGGGGCAAAATCGTTGTTAGTCCTTTTTAACTAGCCTGTCCAAACAGGTCTAAGATATTAGATGATGTATATAGTAATTGTTTTTTATTTACTCTGAGATTGTATGATAATTGGGCAATGATATCATAACTATGTGCATGTTATTGGTATTCGATTCAATTTCCTGAACTAGTGCTCAAGTTAATACAGATTATTGTTGAATGGGTTGATTTCTTACTGCTTGCATTTTGCATGTGTGTTTGAATGGGCTGATTTTTTAGTTCTTGTATTTTTAATGATGTAGATTAAACTATTACAGGTTATTGTTGAATGGGTTGGTTTTGTACATGGTTTTCTTTATAGGTGCATGAATTGTGAATGTTGCTTGATACAGATACATCAGTGCTTAATATACGTAGTGCTCAAGTTATTGCAGGTTATTGTTGAATGGGCTGATTTCTTACTGCTTGCATTGTGGATGTGTGTTTGAATGGGCTGACTTATTAGTTCTTGCATTTTTAATTATGTATGTTTAAACTATTACAGGTTATTGTTAAATGTACATGGTTTTCTTTATGGATGTATGAGTTGTGAATGTTGCTTGATACAAATGCATCAGTGCTGAATATAAGTAGTGCTCAAGTTATTACAGGTTATTATTAAATGGGCTGATTTCTTGCTGCTTGCATTGTGCATGTGTGTTTGAATGGGCTGATTTCTTAGTTTTTGCATTTTTAATTACGTATGTTTAAACTATTACAGGTTA